TAAAGAGTGCTAGAAGGTGGTCGGTGACCAGGGTTCTCATTCTCGCCCTGCCATCCATTAGCTGTCTGGCCCTGCAAGAATCTCTGTCTCTCTGAACTGCTGCTTTTTACATCTGGGGAATGAGGAGCCCAGAGCAGCTTCTTTCTGAGGCCTGTTTTATGTGCTCCTATTCATGAATGTACTGTGCCATGTCTTCACGCGGCCAGAGAACAGGCAGGATGGTTGTGATTTCGCCCCATGGCCCACTACAAGCAAAGACCAAGGCTGGGAGTCTAGTACGGTGCCCTCGCCAAGTCTCAATTGCATTCAGCCTCTAGCAGCTTGGGGCCTCAGAATGAAACCCACACAGCAGGCAGGCGGGCTTCCTGCACCCTGGCAGAGTGGGAAGAGTGACCTGCGAGGATGTTGGTTTTGTGGTTCTCCATGTTTTCACCTCCTCGTGCCTGTGGGCGAAGGCGGCAGTGACGCTGTAGTGTGTGCGCCTGGCCAGAGATGACCAACAGAGAATAACCACCCCCTCTCCCGCATGAGCCAGCAAAGCAGCACTTTAGACAATGCCCTTCATGGTCTCTGGCAGAGACCCGGGCGTTTGGTTTAAAAGGCATCGAGAGCAGTCCCTTCTACAGCAAACGATGGCTCGGGTTGCTATAGAAACAGGTGGAGATGATGTAACTGTCCCTCCTCACATGCGTTGGGAACCTGTGAAGTAGTTTATCTGGGCCTTCAGAAATGATCCTCCAACAGCCAGAGGGGACGTGTTGGAGGTCACATGGGCTCAGGGTTTGGACTCCACCCAGTTGAGCAGGAGCTATACTAACAGCTGTGGTGCCTTCCCTGAATGGCTGGGAGGGCTCCAGTTCGGTTTGGACCCTGGATCAGATTTAAGATTCTGTCTGCAAGGGGACCTGTCCCTGTAGAACATGACAGGTATGTACAGTCCAACACAGAGCCATTCCATTCAGAAGCACATGGACTAGAGGGTAGCCATACGGAGCAGTGGCCCCAGATGATCTTTCAAATCCTCCGATGGGGCCCAGGGAGCCTCACCCTGTGGGTGGGAATCGGGACCACGTGTCAGCCTCCCTTCCCCAGCAACCACCTAGTGATTTCAGATCTAGAAACAGTGAGGCTTCACTTCTGCTTAAATTATCTTTCATAACAGTTGGTAGAACTCAGTATACTTTTAAAAAGATATTTCAATTCAGAAAATAAACCAGGAAGCTAAATGAAATTATTGAATATGGAAAAAAGTGAAGGAACATGAAAATATTTTTCCTAAGGAGTACATTATTATTTGCTCATTCGTCGGTTTTTTTGTTTGTTTTTGTTGTTGTTGTTAGTGCCAATGAACTTTGATAGAATTTAAGTTGAAGTCACAGTGCAGGAGCCTGGTGTGGCTGGCCTGCTCTCTCGGGGGAGTCACTGAGGACGCTGAAGAAGTAAAGGCTTCCAGCATTCCCCCCGTAAACTGACATCAGAGGGCTGATTGGAAAATTCCCAGAATCACCCCATCAGGAGGGTTAAAAATGTTTGTTTGTTATTTTTTTAAATTGCATTTTAAATCCCCCTCATGGGCACTCCAGCCCACTGTTACAAATTGAAGTGTAGATGAAATGGATCAAGGTCAATCCCTTAATCTGTGCTATTTAGACACACACATTTAGTCAGCAGATGAGCAATAATAGTGAGATGATAAAAATAATCTGATTTTAGGCAAAAAAGTCATCTCCAGTGAGATGCTGGTATTCTTCCCACCGCAGGATTTCCTTCCTGGTTTTAGGACACCTCTGTACAGTGTCCGTGCTGTAGACCCCAGATGGGCTTGGTTCCAATTTGCTGCATGTCACCTGGAACAGCGCGAGTCACGGCCTTCTAACATTCTGCCCTGATTGTCAGAACGTGAGCTGCTGCTTGATGCCTTGGCTGCTTTATTCCTGTTTGCATTTCATTCCTTACCTACAAATACTTCTTTTTCCATGTGGACACTAGACCATTTCATAAACTAACACTGAGTAATATAGGCTCCAAAATCACAGGCTAACCCCCATCTCAAGTGGTGGTTGAGACCTGTTCTGGGACATGGCGGCGAGCAAGGGGGGTATTCTGGACGCCCTCTGAGTCAGAGCGGCCTTGCCCAAGGTGGTCCCCTGGCCCGTCTCTCCCCTTCCCTCCACTCAAGGACAGTGGGAAGCTGTCACTGTTGCTGTTGCCTTTGTTCAGTCTGAGCATAAGATCCAACTTTCAGCATGAACCTGACCTTTTCAGGTTTCCCCTTCCTCCCCTTAAGTCTGCCCCATCCACTGTGATTGACAAAGAAACCAGCTCCCTTGGAAAGCAAGCGAGCACAACCCAATGGGGAATTATTTTGCCTAAAATCCACCTTCCTTCCCATCTCTCTTCCCCTCTCCAGTGAGTCTGCTGGGCCACCCATGCCAACGCCCAGGAGTGCCTCTTCCTACCTGCTGAGCAGTCGGGGCCCTGGTAGCCCTCTTCGCAGAAGCAGAGTCCCTCCTGGCAGTGTCCTCGCCCGCTGCAGGCATTCAGACAGTGCCGCTGGCCACAGTCCTCGCCCACATAGCCCTCCTGGCACACACAGGTACCATTGGCACAGCTCCCCTTCCCGGAGCAGTCCCCGGGGCACCTCAGCTCACTGCAGTCCTCGCCAGTGTAGGGCTCCTCACAGACACACTCCCCGTCCACACAGAGCCCCCGGGAGCTGCAGTCGGTGTGGCACCGGAGTTCGGAGCAGTCCTCGCCACTGTATTCGCTGTCACAAATGCACTGGCCATCCACGCACACGCCCCGGCTGGAGCAGCCCAGCGGGCAGGAGGGCTCTGAGCAGTTCTTGCCAAACCAACCTTCATTGCAGATGCAGCCGCAGGACTCGAGGCTGAAGTTGCCGTGGCCACTGCAGTGAGGGAGGTAGTCCAGTTGTCCTAGAAAGGTCAAGGGGAAGGTCAAAGGGGGGCAGTGACACCCCCTGAAAATGGTGCCTGGGGCGGGGTGGGCCGAGACCTCTTCTCCCTCTCTGATCAATGTATGTCACTGAGAGTTCATTTCAACCCATCTAATCAATTTCATAAATATATTCCCCAGTGGGTTGTCTGTGCCTAGCATGGCGCAGGGATAAGGATGAGTGAGATCTGGTCCCTGTACATCAGGAGCTCAGTTTTGAGGTGTCTCAGCTTCCATTCCCCAGGAAGGGGCCTTAGATGAAGATTCAAGTGAAAGTGACTTATTACAAAGTGGTCCCCAAAAATCTGGTTGGGGAAAGGAGAAGTTTGGGGAGGGAAGGAGCCCCAGCCAGGTACATTGTGGGCCAAGCCCAGGGAAGGTAACTGGGGGTTAGTCTTGCAAGATGCTCGGGTCACAGTGGTTACCCCTCATCATGGGTTAAGGGCTGTCCCTGGGGGTGTAAAGGCTCAGGCTCCTCCATTCTCTCTCTGGGCAAGCCAAGGAGGGTCCCACAGCCCAAGGACAGCCCCTGACAAAGATGCCCAGGTGCTTCAGGGACTGAAGGGGTTCCCGGGGCATGTAGGCTGAGCACTGGGCTTGCTATGCTGGGCAAGGTCGTATGTGCCACGGACTTGCCCTACTCCCTCTGCTTCCTGCCCTCACACTCACTCTCCTCATGCATCAGCCCTTGGCTCCACGGTCAGTTCAAAGGCCTCCCTCAACCTCAGTCTCCTGCAGTCACTATTTGCTATCATCCTTTTAGGATTCTGTGCGCATCTCTGTCCTAGCCCTTACCACGCTAGAAGCACGGTGGCTAATCTATCTGGCTAACATGAATCACACAAACTTATTAAACAAACACAAGCCCAGCACCGGCGTGGCATCCTTCTCTGCACTTGGCCTTGGGGATCTGAAGTGCAGTAAGTTATATCCTGTTTAATCCTGTCACTTCAGTCACCCTCACGGCCTGAACGGATAGCACACTGACAATGCTGCACACAGGCTCGCTTGTAGATTTCCCCACTTCTGCCAGGGAGCCTGGTGGGAGGCGGGGGAAAAGCCACTCAGAAAGCCGCCCAGCGTCCTAGGCAGCAAAGAGCCCATATTCATGGACACCTATGATTTCCCCGTGTTCTGGCTCCATGGATAACCGACCTAACAGTTCTCACTGAGGGATGGGAGACTGGGCAACTGGACTTTCTTCTCTTCTCCAGACTGTTTTATTTACGGTTTTGGTTGGGGAGAGGAGGAGGTGAGAAAACCATGGCACCCCACTACTCAAAAACTGCCCACACTCACATCCGTGTGGCTCAAGACACGTGGGCCATACGGGCCACTCCTGCCTTCATCCCTGCCAGAGCCTGGAGATATGAGACATGAAAGCTGGAACCCAAGCTTGTGAGACAGATTCCTGCTCTCACCAAAGGATGAAGGGCAGGGTGGCAGGACTCTATGGGGCCTTTGGGTGAGAGGAGATGTGCACACAAGGCAGCTGCTGCTCAGGCAGGTCAGCGGGCAATAGCTCATGCTCCTGTGGGCTCATGAGGAGCCAGGCTTTCACCTGAGTGGATGCTTGTATCTTAATGCTCCTTGCCGTTCTGCTCTATCCCCATTTGTCGACAGGGAACAAAAGGCACAGGTCATGAGACTTGCTTAAGGATTAAGCTAGTAAATAGCTAAGTCCAGATTTGAACTCAGGGAGTCAGACTCTGAAAACCTAATGACCTATCAGAGAGGCACCGACAGTAACTCCTAAGTGTTACTTGAAGGGAGTGAGTGAGGCTGGAGTTACCTTTCCTGGACATTCAGCCTTTGGAAGGGGTGCAGAATAAGCAATATGTGTGTGTGTGTGCATGTGTGTGTGTGTGAGCAGGTGTGTGCACACGTGCATGCTGGTGGAGGGGGCAGGGGCCAAAACTTCCATCCTGCTGGAGAAGACAGGGATGGGTCCTGGGAGACCTTGATGACTATCATTTACTCAGATGGGAGAAAGGCTGCGACTGAGTGAACATGCGCCTGCATTCTCTAGTCCCTCAGGTTAACACGGGGAGATATCAATTCAACAGCCTGTAAAAACCCAAGATGAATGAAGACAGACATCAAACTCCCTGCTCACTGCTGTGCTGAACGGATGTGCCATTCCCTGACTCATCCCCCCAGAAGCAAGTAATGTCTTTCACACGGACTAGGCGAGCGAGCGTGTGGGTGTGGAGGATGCGGGTGTCAGTCCTCCGGGAGGACTGTGTGCAGATCTCAGAGACGCTTTATCACAGAGCTACAGACTGGGGCTCATTTCCTTCCACGTAAAGAGGGGCCGATTCCCCTCCTCTTCCCACCCGAAGCCCCTGCAGGGGCCCAGCCCTACCTGTGGCTGCACTTTCTTGGCAGCAGCTGCTGCCGCACTGGTCCCGAAGCACCGACACCTCCCTCTCCAGCATCTCGATGCGGCTCAGCAGCTCCCGCAGCACCTGGGCCGAGCTGGCGGCGCACGGGCAGGCCTTTTTGGGGAGGTTGATCCTGTGGGTGACGGTGACCTGGCTCTCCGGGTCGGAGGTCTGGCCCAGATACTCAGCCGGTGCCTCGTCTTCCGCACTCACCTCCTGCTCGGCCGAGGCCTCCAGCCCCGAGGAGCAGAGGCTGTCCAGGGGCACGTTGATGTTGTACACGTGGTTGAAGACCACGGGCGGCTCTTTGTCGGATGTGTTGTAGCTGGCAACGCCTCCCTCCTCCTCCACCGCCGGTCTCTGGCCCCTCTCCGTGGGGACCTCCAGCTGACACTCTGTGGGCTTGAGCATGGAGCCCAGAAGAATCAGGTTGACGCCAAGGAGCATGTTCTTCAGGACCACAGTTTCCCCATCGGCCCCCATCCTCCGTGCAGAGCTCTGGGTTCAAGACCAGCCTGCAGCTCACAGCATAGAGTTGTCGGAATCTGCAAGAGAAACAGAACTGAAGTTACCTCTGAGACCTGCGCTGGGTGCCATACTGTGCAGAGTCCTGCAAAGCCCAAGGACAGGCGGCCGAAGACATTCAAGGGGAGGGAGGCTGGGAAGGAACAGGAACTACCAGGGTATAAAAGCCCAGAGCTTTGTCCCCTCAAGTGGACGCTGCTTCCAAAGATTATCTGCAACACAGGAGACCGGCCCCCATGCTGGCAAGTGGTTCCAGCAAAGAGGGCCTGCGAGGCAGGGGCCCGGGCTCTGTGGAGAGTCTCTTTCTCCAAAGAAAATTCAGTGCTTCTTTCCACTTCTGGGTGAGAATTAGGATGAAGGCACCGTGGAGCCTCAGGTGCACCCTCGCATTTTCACAGATAGTTATTATGAAGGACACCCACCAGCCTCTTCAAAATAACTTATTAACTCTTCCAAGCTCATCCCTTCAATACAAGTCGACTTGAGAATAACCAGCCAGGCAGATAATATAGTTCCCGGTAATTGTGGCTGTTAATAATCCTTGGGTACCCGTGTGATTATCTGGGACCGTGCGGGCTGCACATGCCTCTAATCTTCTCATTAGCACAGTCCCAGCGCTCCGTGATCGGGGCTCCTTTCTTCCGAGGTCCTGCTTAAATTGCTAAACTAATAAATTAGCTCCTCTGCTGGTTACCCAGTCACAAAGAACCACACAGAACAATATATTTACTGTCATGCAAATCAGGTTTAGGGAAATTATATTGCTTTTTTATTCCCCACATAGAGGAGAAAAGAGGCCCAACAAAGTTGGGTTTCTAAAGGTGGCTTTAAAGCTACTAAGAAGATTAAGGTCTAAGGGCTGATGAAGGAAGAGTAACTGAGTCCACGGATGAGGCAGCAAATGGAACATGTACTGAATGTGGACTGTGCACCTCACACCTGACCTACTTGGCCCTCAGAACATCCCTATGTGGGAGCATTAGGGTTATTCCCATCTTAGGATGGAGGAAATTCTGCCCAGAGATGTCGAGATTGGAGATCAAAGGTTAAGAGCTGGCTCTGGAGTCAGACTGCCTGGGTGCATACCCCACTCCTTTGCTTTGCTTTCTACCTGTGAGTGGTAGATCATGTAGCTCTTCATGCCTCAGTTTCCCGACCTGTAAGGTGGGGATCATAAGAGGATCCTCCTTATGGGATTGTAGTGATGATCGAGTTAGTACCCGTAGAATACTTAGCTAGTACCTGGCATTCAGTGAAATGCATAGATGTGAGTTGTGGACAGGCAGAATAACTGTTTAGTTCTTGCCCTATCTGGATCAGATATGGCCTGGTCACCACTGTCAGGACCTTGGCTCTCACTGTGGATGCATGGTCACTGGTCACAAATACCTCCACACACCACATGTTTATTATGATCTCATCCCAGCTCTTGAGCAGCTGTCAGTCTCACGGAGGAGATGGAAACACAAGTAGGATAATGACAGTGTAATGTGCTCATGACCTTGACCAACAAGCAGGAGGGTGGAACAGCAGGAAATCTACTCAGGGGATGGGTGACCACCAGTGCCGTGGGCCCAGTGTTCCTGGGCCTGGCTTCCAGGCACACGGAAGGACTATATTGTCTAGGACTATATTTTCAGGTCTCCTGCTGGTTGGGTGAGGCCATGCCACTAGCACTGGCCAATGAGTTGTGAGGGGAAGTGAGGAGTGTCACCTCTGGGCCGGGGCATTATTGCCGATGGGTGACGCTCCGAAGCTTTATCCCTGCCATGGGGGAGTGTTCCAGATGCTGGCTGCGTTCTCAGTCTGGGTCCCGGAGCTACTACAACCGACCGAGAGCCCCTGCTGCGCCACAGTAGGTGGCAGTGTGTGAGAGAGAAGGAATCCTCTGGTTTCTGAAGCACAGGTTTCGTTTTTGGTGTTTCCCACAGCATAACGTAGTCTACCAGGAGATATGTAATATCGAACTGGATTTTAATAGATTACTCTTTAGATCGAGAAGATAGGGTTCATTATACACAAAAGAAATTGCATGTGATAACCTCTGATATGTGCTAGAACATAAGATGACATAACATAGCAACTAACATGGCTTGTTCAATGAATGCAAGTATTTGAAGGGATGTTAAATGCTAAGGGATTTGACGTTTCTATGACAAAAGGTTCAAGGGAGGTAGTTTCCATCGAATAAGGGGAATCTATGGGAAAACATATTTTTGGCTACTTATAAAGAATAGTTTTTCTAATCGTCAGAGCCTACTGGATTGTCATGATAGGCAGTGAGTTCCCGTCACTGGAGGTATCCAAGTACAAGCAGCTAGACTACTACTTGAGAATGCTGAAGATGGCCTTTCAAGCACCACATGAGAGACTGGACTAATAAGAATGTTAGGTCTTCTCCTGGATACTTTTCGAGTTCATGCATTTGAGGAGTGTGCCCAGTGTAATACTGTGTTCAAGGGCCGCCATAACCAATGACCACAAACTGGGTAGCTTAAAACTACACAGCTTTCTCACATAGGGATGGTTCTGGGCACTAGAAGTTCAAAGCCGAGATGTCATCAGGGTTAGTTCCTGAACCTTCCTAATGCCTCGACCCTTTAATGCAGTTCTTCATGTTGTGGTGACCCCCAATTTCATTGTTACAAATTGAACATAATTAAAGCATAGTGATTAATCACAAAAACAATATGTAATTCTATATGTGTTTTCCGATGGTCTTAGGTGACCCCTGTGAAAGGGTTGTTCGACCCCCAAAGGGGTCGCGACCCACAGGTTGAGAACCGCTGCTCTAGGCCCTCCTGGGCTCAGAGATGCATCACTCCCACCTGTGCCTTCATTTCCACATGGCCCTTCCCTGTGTCTCCGTGTCATCACGTGGCCATCTTCTTTCAAGGACACCAGTCATACTAGATTAGGGACCCATCACTCAGTATGACTTCATCGTAACTAATCACATCTGCATGACCCTATTTCCAAATAAAGTACTTTCTGAGGTGCTGGGGGTTAGACCGTCAGCAAATCTTCTTTGTGGGATATGATTCAATCCATAACAAACGCCATTGGGCATTTTCACCAGACACTGAGCTAAGCATTTCCCTTATAATTTCATTCAAGCCTGACAACCAACTTATAAGAGAGAGAGGGGTGATATTCAGGAGTCAAGAGAGTAACTGGTGTGGCTCCGGCAACACCCAATCGGCAGAGGCATCAACCAATCAGATTGGCTGTAAACAACCAGCTGGGCTCCGTGATGATATCACTATGATGGTAGCTCCTCTTTTAATTTCCATTGTTTGAGATGAAGAAAAAACTTCAGGAAAAAACAAGGTATTTGACCAAGACTGGCAGCTACTGAAGCAGAGGAGCCAAGACCGAGGCTGGTGCAGCTGCGTGTAGCCTGTGCTCTTCACTGCTGTTTCTCCGCCGCCTTAATTAGTGGCCACATGCCATTCTCATGAAAAGACTTACAAATCAACACGCTCACAAATCAACACTCTCCTTTCTTAGGATCAGACTTAGGACTTCCTGACAGTGATGACTTTTAGCTTAATGCTTTCTCTGCCAATCCTGTCTCCCACCTCCTGGCGGGAAGGCTGGTCTGATGGTGCCCGGCCTCCTGTGTCCTGGGAATCAAAAGCAGTTCTACACCAGCAAACCTTGATCCTCGAGGAGTTGGGAGACGTTCTTTAAATGTGCCCTTCCCCACCGAGCCAGCAGTTACAGAAAACTGGGGCTGGCACCAGCAGCCTCCGCTTCATTCACTTTTCTGAGCTCCCTCTGGTGTGTTCCCACCAGGCCGTCAACAGCCATTGTTAATCACACCACAGACTCTCTGCCTCTCTCCTGTGTCTCCACATTTTGTTTAGGTTGCTTTTCTGCACAGACAGAGCAGGTGGGATGAATGGGATGAGGGGCCTCATTTTCCTCACTACTTCTGACGCCTGCTGAAGGTGGAATGAAACCAAAGGTTATTAATGCCCATGATAAACGTGCCCTTGGTTCTGCCGAGCTCATGTCACTTAGTAATTGTTTCGAAGTGAATTTTCTTTCTTGTGTCCCTGGCTTCCTCCCCTGCCTCCGCCTCCTGTTCCTTGTGTGGCTAAGGATGCTCACTGCTCTGCAGGCCTTTCTGTGGCACTTTTCAGCAATGCTGAGGGCCTGGTCTAATCCCATGGCTTACTCTAGTGCTGCATTTGCTACACTGTCTCCTTTAGAGGGGCCCCACCTGCTCTGAGACCCATGACCTGGCTTTGGTGTGAGGGGGTGTCTGCATCTCTAAGCTAAATGCAAATCTGTCACCAAAAACCACTTGGGAGGCTGGAGGGGACCAGCAGAGCTGCCTCCTCTCCTCTCACTGTCTTCCCGTCTCTCAGATGCATCACCGGACCACAGCTAGGAAGACTCCAGGCCTAGAAGCAAGATGGGCCAGTCAGAGATGGTGGGAGGAGGGGAAAGGAAGGAAAAACAGGAAAGGTAGAGGGGGGAAATGGGAGAGCGCCAGGCTGGCGAGGGGAGCAGCTGAGAGTTCTATAGGTAGAGTGAGAAAATATAACCCTGAGGGACAGATAATGTACGCGGCTTCAATGATACACTAACCGTGGTGAGCGAGACCGATAGCTATTGACCCCACAAACGCGAGTGCAAGGGAGGTGCAGTAATTCGATAGATCAATACTCAAGAAATCCTAGTGGTGCCATTGACTCATTTCCAGCGCTCCAGCTTCCTTATCAATATAACTACTGTGGCGGCAATGGGGTGTCTTTGAGGAATTTGTAAGAGGCAGGCAGATGGCAGGATGGTCCTGGGGACTGGGGTGGTGCCCGGTTTCTGAAGGTGCCGTCCCTCTGGGAGGTCACCACAGCCCGGCTGAAGCTCCTGCCCCAGCTAATGTGGCTCCTCAGTGGCTTTATTTTGCTTTTTCCCTCCACTGCCCTCCCCCGGCTTCATGTTCTCTCACTGAGGTGCTACTGTTCTAGAAATACATCCTGCAGACATATGTTCCCAGATCGGAGGAGAA